AGAAACAGCAGCAAGGGCATGGTAGGATGGGACCATAATGAAGACGATCAGAGTGCAGGCTGTGTGCCTATCGTGACGCAGGGGGGCCTCATTAGCACTTACCGTGTCACTCATTTAATCTGCGGGATGTTAAACCCATGGTCAGGGCCTTCTCCTATGTGGGGCAAGTCCCTTTCCTTTTTCAGACCTTGCCTGCCTCTTTAGTGAAATGATACTTCATTGCCTAAAGGCAGAGGGCCGAGCCACCCAACATCTCCAGCTTTCATTTCAGATAACGAAATACGGAAAAAGCTGAGAGGGAGAAACAAAATGTCAACGGTTGTGTGACCAGGAATTGTCCTGGGAAGTAGGGCACCGCCATGCATGAGCCAGACCTGTCCTCCCCGCCTCCCTGGTGGCCGCCTGCAGGGACAGTTCCATTTCAAGAATGTTCACTCTGCACCAGGCATCGGGCGATGCATCTGGCATCCCACTAGCCGACAAGTGTTTTGGAGTACCCACCAGGTGCTAGGCAGTGACGCAGGGATACGGCGGTGAGCTGACCAGGACCGTGTCTCTCTCCACCAGCAGCTCCCTCATTGCCTCGTCAGTGTTCACGAGCACCCTCCAGGGACTGTTTCTGTGCCGCGGGCCAGCCGAGGAAATGGGGGCTCAGGCAGGCCAGGTCACTTTCAAGGGCGTGCGGTGAGCCACCACCCAGGAGGGTCTGTCTCCAGGCCTGTGCTCCTAACACGGGGGTGGCAGACTTCAGCCCATGGCCCAAATGCACCCCTCCTTGGTCGGTAGGGTTCCCTGGGAGCCACGCCCGCTCACGTATGTCCTTTCTCTGGCTGCTCACACACTACAGTGGCGGCCTGGTTCCCCAGAGCCTTGCAGAGCCTGGAGTATCCACTCCCTGACCCTTTCCAGAAGTTTGCTGGTTCCCGTTCTAACCACTGCGCGCGGACACTGCTGCCTTTTAGGACATAAAAATCCTCCCATAATTCCGTGAACCAAAGATACTCTTCGTTTCTCTTCTCCTGAATTTCCTTCCACTTTTTCCCTCTCTGTACACATTCAATTACAAAGAGAGCCTTTTCTCTTATAAATGAGGGTGAAAGCAGCACTGCCCAGAAGGGGTTTTGGGAAATTGAAAGGATGTCCTGCATGGAGGTGGGGTGCCCGGTTCCAGGAGGTTCTCACGCTCTGGGAGCCATGACAATTATTTTCGTTCTGAGTAGAGCAGACGCCCCTCATGATGCTCGCGGGGTTTTTCCCTGAGGCCCTAAAATCAGATGCTGGAGCCAGACGTGGCTTCCGGGAGACCCCCCCTCAAGTGTCCCCACAAAGGTGGGGCTGCAGGGGCTGGTGACCCTTCCTCAGGCTGAGTGTCCTGGGTATGTGTCAGGTCCCCCTCTGCCCCGGGGGGACCGGTGTCCCCTCTTCAGGCTAAATGTCTTCTCTCCACCCAGCTTCCAATGCAGAGACAGAGCCCTTGCTGACGTGGAAGAAGGTCCAGGACACGGTGCCTTGGAACATCATCCTTCTCCTGGGCGGGGGCTTCGCCATGGCCAAAGGCTGTGAGGTAAGAGCCGCAAGCGGGAGGCAGGTCTGGGGAGGGGGGCGCAGGTTCCAGTCCCGGCTGCTCAGGGTCACCCCAGCCACCACCAGATCCCCCAGTTGCCAGATTGGGATCACCATGGCTTCATCCTCAGCACCCGGTGCTGTGAAGGAAAGGAGTAAGGTCTGATCCAGACTCTCCAGGAGCTCATGATGAGCACACTACCACTAAATACTACTATCGTGGCTCGAGGGGTCCCGTGGGCACAGAGGAATAACCCTACGCTCACCCCCACCCCCGGGCCGGGCACTGTTCTGCGTGCTTTACACACATTAACTCATTTAAACTTCCCCCAACAAGCCTATGAGGTAGATGCCATTATTATCCCCATTCTCCAGATTAAGAAACTGAGGCACAGAGAAGTAAAGTGATTTGCCCAAGGTCACACAGCTACGTACTCAGGATTAGAATCCAGGTAGTTTGACGCCACGGCCTATACTCTTAACCACCGTGATATAAATATTAGAGATTATTAATATTAATCAGTTAGTGTTGTTATGAATATTGTTCTAGAGGGCTCTTTGAGCTCAGAGGCAGGACTGGGACTAGAGTGAGGGGAGCAGGGCACAGAATTTCAGGAGGCTCTGGCTCTCAGCACTCTGCAGGTGCAGTGTCAGCAGGCCCTGCTCAGAACAGGTGCATCCTCAGTGTTACCCTTCAAACATTCACGCTGACCCTAGGGGCTGGGTAATATTTGTATCCCCATTTTACAGATAGGAAAACCGAGGCACAGAGAAGTTAGTTAAGCAACTCTCTGAAGGTCGTACAATTGCACTCTGCTCAGGAGCTGGGGTTCCAACTCCAGTCAGACTGCTTTCAGAGTCCAGCCTCCTAACGGCTCACTAGCAAGAACTTCCCAAGTGCTGGCATCATGTGGAGCACTTTGCAAACAGGGACTCGGTTCGTCTTCATCAACACCACCGAAGTAGATGCGATTGCTGTCCGCACTTCAAAGATGAGGGAACAGAGGTTACTCGAGGCTAAATAGCTTGCCTATGTTTGTGCAGCTAGGAGCTTGTTGGAGCCGGGATTTGAACCCCCAGGTCATGATGCTGGGCTCCACCTCACCCCTAAACCTCTCCTTGTAAGCCAAGGCATTTAAAACCACAACCAATTAAGCGTTAATCTGAAATTAAGGTGAAGGAAACCTGAAATTTCTTCTCAAATTGCTTTCTTTCTTTAATTCAGTTCTAATTTTCAGGTTCCAACAATGATACGATGTAAGACATCCCTAAAGTGTATATGAGTAAGAAGCCCAGGCTTGAGAATCAGAGTATCTGGATTCAAATCCCAGCTCTACCACTCCTCACTGGGGCACTTTGGGCAAGTTTCTAAACCTCCCTGGGTGCCAGTTTTCTCATCTATGAATTGGATCAAAGTTCCTACTCTTCGGGGTTGTTGGAAGTAATTAGAGAATGTAATAGCTGGTGTAATACATAGCAAATGGGGAGCATGAGGAACTCCCTGTTCACTCTCTAAATCCTCATTCTGTGGTCTTGTGGGTTCTGCTTCCAGGGAGCAGACTCTGAGATGCAGGCGAGGGAGCAGGGGTGTTAGGTTGTGCCCCTGAGGTTCCTCCCTGTGGACGGGGGGAGGAAGGAAGCAGGAGAGGGCAGGGGGAGAAGCACAATCGTGAGCAGACCCCACGACACCTCCACCAACCCCACAGGGAGCATGGTGCTGAGCTGGCCCTTCAGAAATGTCCCAACTGGTCTGAGATGGCCAGGCCATACCCCGGCATCCCTGCACCAGTCTGTGCATGTGAGCCGCCCCAAAGTGAGTGTGACCTCGGCCAAGACGACTCTCAGGTCTGAGACAGCTCCTCAGGGGCTGACAGTGAAGGCCCTGGTTCCCTGCACTGGGACATGCAGGCCTTCAGAGTCCGGAGTGCTAAGCCATTACACCAGGTTACTCACAAGGCCTTCACTGAAGGTGGTCTGGGTGGCACATTCAGGTTCTCAACCCAACGACTCCTTTTTCTGACATATATTTTTATTTTGCTCATTTTTCCCCAACAAATAACACATACAAATACAATAGTATAGACTTCAAAATGAGCAAAAGGCAGCCTGCCCCAGCAGGGACCAGAGTGCTCATGAGCAACAGTACTGTTTTTGTCTCCGTTTTAGGAATCTCGAGGACCAGAGAGGTTAATTGACTGATCCTAGGTAACAGAGCTCATAGGTAGCAGAGCTGGGATTTGAACTCCTGTCTGACTTTTCTCACTACTGCGTCCTATTGGGGATGTATCGGGGAAGGCTTCCCAAAGGAAGTGACATGTTATCCAGGTCCTGAAGAGGCCATGCAACACAATGGTAAAAAGCATGGGCTGTCGAACCCAGACTGTCTGGGTTGGAGTTGTGGGTCTTGTACCTCTTCACTGTGTGGTTCGGTTTCCTCATCTGTAAAATGGGAATAATAACGGTGCCAAGTCATAGACTTGTTACAGTTATGAAATGAGCCGATGCATGTGGGGAACTTAGAACAGAGCCGACATGGTTGGTTATTATAATTGAATGCAGGGGCAAGAGGGAAATCAGAATCAGGGATGACATGGAGGTTCTTGCCTGAGCAACTCAGTGGAAAGGGTGCCATTTATCCAGATGGTACGAACCTTGCCTGACCCTGAGGCAGGGGGTAGAGGAGATGGCCCTGTACCCCGGAGGCTTCTCCGAGTTCAGGATGTGGTGGGAAAAGTCTCGGCGCTCAGTGGGGGCTGGGCTGCAGGACCACTGGGCACGCTAGGAGGCTGGTCTGGCTCCTGGCCCAGCTCTGGGCCGCCGCTGGAGTTTCTGTTTAACAAGGGCTTTGTCTGGCAGCTGCCCCCTTCCCCCCACCCCTGCTGGTACCGGCTCCTCCCCAGGCCAGCACAGCCTGCCCCAGGAGGGACCAGAGTGCTCATGGCACATCCTGCTTCGTGGCACCGGCCCAGTGCCCTCACCAGGCCACTGCCAGGCTTCCTGGGGCTTACAGGTCCTCGGATGGGGTCCAGGGTGAGCCTGGATGTGTGGACTCCCTAGTGCTGGTTTGCAGGACTCCCTAGGGCTGGAAGCAGATCCCAGGGCTTGCTCTGAGCTTGGCAACTCACTTAAACTTTACCGCTTAGTGTCCTCAGTGCATTTTTCTCCTGCTGTAAAACTATCCATGACTCCCCATATATTTAGACTCTAGTCTGAAGGCTTCCTTGGCCTACGCACAGGGCCCAGCGTGACCCAGCCCCTGCCCACCTCCCTCGTGTCAGCTCCTACCTCTCTCTCCTCGTTGGCTCCCCTCCAATCCCACTGGCCCCTTAATGTCAGCCACACTAGACTCATTTGCACCCCTGGACCTTTGCATCTGCTTTCTTTCTGCCTAAGGCTCTTCCCTGAGATCTTGAGTCCTGGCCCTTCAGGTCAGCTCCAAGGTCACCTGGTACCATGTCTAAAGTAGCCTCCCCTCCAGCCACTCTCCCTATAACACCCCACTATTTCCTTCCCCTAAATTTCCTGCTCATTTGTTTGCTTGTTGGTGTCTCTCTTACTGGAGCGTAAGCTCCACGAGGGCAGGGGTAGTATCTGTTTTATTCACTACTGTTCCGGCATCGAGAAGAGTCCTGGTACATAACATGTTCAATAAACATTTGTTGGACATGACCCATGAAGCGGGCTGTTTTGAGGGTTGATGCCGTGAGGCGTGGAAAGTGCCCAGAACGGGGCTGATACATACCAGCTGCTAAAACCAGAGCCACCTTCAACCTCACTACTGTTATTGTTACTATAGTTTTACTATCTCATGGATTGAAAAATTGGTCTTCTTCTGGCACCTTCATGTATATCTCATTTAATCTCCACCAAAGTAAACTTATCTACAAATATATCGGGGTTATAGGAGCTTGAGAGTAAGTCAGAAGGGAGCAAACCCTGTAGGCAAGTAGAAACGTGTATATTTTCCCCATCCCTCATTTCCTGCTGGAGAGTCACCTGAATGAGGATGGTGGTGGTGGTGGTGATGATGATGGTGATGATGATGATGGTGGTGGTGATGGTGGTAGTGATGATGGTGATGATGGTGGTG